AAAGGGGTGAGACGGATGGAGATTTACTGAGCGTGAGGTAAACAACAAGATCGGACGGGGATGTAGATGACCGGTCTGACGGTTTTTCATTCACTATATGCCCAGTGCAGACTGCAGGGTGTGAAGTATTGCCGGCATTTTGTCATTATCGACATCGTATCATTTTTTTTTATTTATTTATTATTATTATTATTATTTTTTCAAACTGTCCCTCCAGTGCTAGCAATGCTGTTAAGAGCAGACACCGCTAGCACCTGGGGATAGGCTCCATCTATTGGTGGGGAGTGTCACCTACTGGAAAACGGGTCCAGCGTCCCTTGTGATTGTGATACAATTAGGATACTCAGAATATCTCAGAAAGTCCGCAAGCAGAACCTGCCAGCATTGATTGCCCTGGAGAACAGGGGATTGACTGAGCAGGGGGGGAGCCTCTTCACCCTAATTTTGGCACCAGATTTCCACTGTCTCTGCTGACTCCCTCCACTGTCTTGGTTGCTAGCGATGTCACAGAGCTGGAAACCGGGTCCAGCCTCCCGTACCAAATCATTGTCGTGCTGCCTCTTCCTGCCGCACCGCCGGGGGCCGAGGGGAGAACCACCAGGGGGCACCAGTGGGTACTCCCGCTGTACCCCAGCTCCTATACATCCTTGCAAAAATGAACAACATAGGGAGTGACGCCATTATGCCGGCAGCCGGGTCCAGCGTCCCATATCCAATCTACTCCTCCTTCCCAACCCTGCAGATAAAAACTGGCTCTGGGACCGGGAAGGAAGGATCACTGGGGGGCACCAGTGTTTCCTTCCCTTCTCTTGCCAATCCTTCCATGAGGACCCATCCCTTTCTACCCCCGTTCTGCCCACAATGAGGCCCGTACCTTTATTACCAAAAGGAATAGAAAAAAATCAGAAAGGGATCAGGAAGGAGTCCGAAAGGAATCAGGAGGAATCAGAAAAGAAAAACAGCGACCGAAAACTTGGGAATATTGTACAGGGTTTACAGACATACATCAAGGGACCAGGGGTGGGGAGGGAAGGGATCGGGGAACTCTTTTACAGACATACATCAAGGGGATTCTCGAATCCACAGTTAGCCAGTCCTTGAATCTCAAGTGGTAGTCCCTAGGGATCTCCACACCTTGGCTGTCCTCTTTTCCTTTGCCTCCCCTCCAGTCCCCTGTCCAACAGACTTCTGCAATCCAACCCTCCCTTTCCCCTCCTAGCCATTCCTTAGAAAAACGTAGTAAGTGTTCTCGGATATCCTTGGATGAGTGGAAGCTGTCAACTAGTTGCTTGGTTGAATTCCATTTATGCAAAAGCTCCAGCTGGAAATGCGTTTTGAATCGTTCCATCCTTTCTTCCCCCTCAACTCGTACTTGTTCCAATGCCAGAGCGCTGCGTTGCCGCCATAGAACCCACAGGATCGTTCTTCTGGACAGGTGGAACATATTTGACACAAAGGTATTATCCTGGCAGGGTGGGTAGTATCCCAACAGGATAGCCCGCCAATCCCATGGCCATGGGTGTCCAGGAACCATTTGCTGCCATATTCTGTCCCATCACCTCCATGTCAGAGTGGCCATCGGGCATTGCAGGAATATATGTTCTATTGTTTCTGCTCTCTTTATGGACGGATATTTCAACAAACATCGAGAACACCAGGGGAGCGCACGGCCTTGTTGTTCCAGGTGTGAGTGGTCAATCAGCCAGTCATTCGTGGGTAGGCACCGATGGAAAATCTGCCATTGTAAGGATGTAATCTTTGCCGGTCTGCATTTGGTGTCATTAAAACATCGTATGGGTGTGAGAAGCTGCCTTTCAACATTAAGGTGTTTTTGCCATCTGTCGATCACAGTGTCCTTAGGAGTGCGTTTAATTCTGAGCATTTTGTATGCCATCTTCACAGAGAGCCCTGACAGTGTTTTGGGTTTTGACCGACAAAAATGCTGCCGTGGATCAGGAGTCCAAATCCATTCCCGTGGGTCTATTGGGAGGTTTTCTATGGGGATCTCTGGGAGGAAAACCCGCCGACTATCTCCCTCCTCGATGACTCTGGTTCTGTGTAGTTCTTCCCTTGAGGTCCATTGGAGGGGGTCGTGGCTTCCTTCCAATTTTCCGTTGTTTTTAATGTTATACCATTCGATCAGTCCCTCTTCCCCTCTGATTAGATGGACCAGGCCTACTTTTTGGTCCCCTCCTTCTTTGGACACCCAATCCCCCTCCTTTAGGACCGGGCCTTTGTGAAGTAAGGGCCACCACCCTATCGGGAGGGCCTCCTTTATTTCCTCCAATGTTGATTCCACATTGTGCTAGTATCTCAACTTTTCGCGCATCTCTTCAGAGCTCTTCCAATCCTTCCTCTCTTTGTCCCAGAGGTCGCCCACTCGGGTTATTCCATTTTTCACCCATCCTCTCCATGGAGCATCCGAGCTACAGAAGATCTGGCTTCGCTCATTAGTACTCCGTCGGTTTCCAAAAAGAGGCTGCCTTGCCACCTCCTCCCACCTATCAGGATGCGGGCGGGTTGGGGGGGGGAGCTTCCTCCAAGTTTTGAGGAGGCGGGGCCAAAAATCATCTTTCCGTCCCTTCCCTCCCCTGGGGCATCGTGGTATTTTCCAGTAGCAGTCATCCAGCCATAGTAGGGGGTGGACCGACTTGGGGGCCTCGGGGGCTTAACGGGCCAGTTGCGCTAATGCCAGCGGCCTCCATATTAGGGGGTCTTCAAATATCAAGCTTATCACCCATTTTATGCTTAAGGCATAGGATTGGGTGAGAGGATTGAGTATGCCGAGAGCCCCTTTGTTCTTGGGTTGGATGACGGAGTCCCAAGCCACCCGACTGATAACATGGGGTTTTTCACTATCCGCTCTCCACATCTTATCATATTCTTTGCATATCACTCTTTTAAGTTTTAAGCTTTAGACTGAGGAAATGTGAGTCTCCATAACTGTTTGTATTTAGTGAGATTAGGGGCCTCATGCCAGTACTCAAACATCGTACATGCATTTAGGCTGTTTCTGAACCAGGTGCATTCATAGGACTGCAGCATTTCGAACGAATTGGGACCACCGTGAGCTCTAGGTGCATATAGTGGTGTCTAGTGGAGTGACACCCTAGAGTGGAAAGTGCATGTCTCTGCAGCAGGTGCTCCTCTTCTGCCCTCCACTTTGCTGTTGACT